TAGGCCGCGGCCTACACTTTTTTGGCACAGTTATCTTTTTTTTTACACAGCCTAATTCAAAATCATAAGCTTGCTGATACAAGTTTAAGGAGTCTAGGTAAGAGACTAACTATTGAGAATGACGTCGCAGAATAGTGGCTAAATTAGGTGACTACGCTATTCTCTGTGTCCTCTAGGCTGTCATTCTAATCGCGTGCCGTTTCATTCAAACACTTATACCCGCCGAAAAGCTAGGATCCGATCTTGTCGTCTTTTTTAACATTATTGAACTCGTTCCGTAACAGCTATTGTAACGTCGTTTTGTATTTTTTTGGTGTTTAAAAGTGAAATTGAATAGGTGTCTAGAAGTAAGGCAAGAGGTCACGCGCGTAAACCAGAATGAACACCGGGAAGGGCGTTTCCGGCATCTGGGGGGTTTGTTAAAACCAAAATTTTCTTGTCCGAGCCTCCGCCGCTAAACCGATGGTGGCGCTGCGCTGCAGATAGTCGTGCCTACAACTTTGAAAATCTCTGGCTACGCCCTGCAGGGCCGGATTCATGCAACGTTGCTAAAGTTATGCGTACACGGAGTTTCTAACGAGTACGTAAGCAAGCTCGTAGCGTGCGATTCATCAACGCAGCGTAGCCTGGCGTACGGCAAATGTTGATGACATTCCAGTGTAAACCCACTCGCCGATCGGGTGGCTGTGGCTGTGGAGGGGTGCTGCCATAGCATAAACGCATCACACTGTGCGACCACATACCATAGAACCGAACAGACGCTCTCTTTGTATTTAAACCATATGGCTCGTCTAGTCGTCTCGTCTGTCTACATGAGTGCTGGGGATGTGATAGTGTTCCTCATTTTCGTTTTATGATTGCGTTCAACACTCATGAAAGCAGCCACCACGTACACGTGCGTGCGTGCGTGTGGTACGTACCGTGCGTGCGGTGTGTGGTCGGGCTGTGCACCGTACACGTGTCGGTGTGCGTGCCGTGGGCAGTGCACGTGGTGCGTGTGTGTGTAACAGGTACACGCGTGCGTGAGTGCGTGTGTAGCGTACAGAAGCGTGCGTGCGTGTGTACGTACACGTGCGTGCGTGTGTACTTACACAGGCGTGCGGTTGCCGTGTGCACGATACACGGTGCGTGCGTGCGTGCGTTTGCGACGTACACGGGCGCGCAGTGCATGCGTTGCAGTACACGGCCGTGGGTGCGTGCATGTGCACGGCGTGCGTGGTGCCGTAGTAGCTGCTGCACGTTACACGGGACGTGCGTGTGCGCACGTTACCAGCGTGGCGTGCGACTGTCACGTACACGTGCGTGCAGTGTCTGTGTTCGTGTGTGTTTTACGTACAACGGCGCGTGCGTACGTGTGGCACGTACATGCGTGCTGTGCGTGCTGTGTGCGTGTACACGTACACGTGACGTGCGTGCGTCGCGTGTGTACGTACACGTGGCGTGCGTGCGCGTGTGTGCGCGCGCTGCGTGTGTACATACATGTGCGTCCCCTGGCGTGCGTGTGCACAGTACATCGTGTAGTGCGTAGCGTGCATGGTTCACGTATACGTGGCGTGCGTGCGTTGAGTGTGCACGTACACGTTGCGTGCGGGCGTGTGTTACGTAGCATAGGGCGCGTGCGTGCGTGCCGTGTGCGTGCATTGTCAGTGCTGCCGTGCGTGCTGTGCGTAACGTGAGTGCGTGCGTGCGACCGTACACGGTGCGTGCGTGCGTGTGTACCGTAACACGGGCGTGGCGTGGCGTGTGCACGATTACACGTGCGTGCGATGCGTGCTTGATGCACGTGTGCGTAAGCTGCACCGTACACGTACGTGCGTTGTGGCACGTACAAGTGCGCTGCGTGTGCACGTACACAGTGCGTGCCCCGCGTGTACAACGTACACGGCTTAACTACGAACTTCGCTATTATAACAGAAACAGATGGCTAGCTATGACAAAAGAGCGGTCAAAGGCGCGCGCACTGTCTGTGTAGTATGGTAATTATTTATTTTGTTTTTGTTCGAGTAGTATTTTTATAATGTTTTCGTCAATAATAATGCACCCTGCTTGCGGATGTGGAAAACACCTGCAGGAAATTTTCGAGTGTTTACGCGCATATCCGTCCATAGCTCGTGTAGAGCTTACGCCAAAGGTTTAAGGTAAATTATTAGCTTGATGAATCGTACCTTAAAACGGCCTCGCGTTGGTACGGCGAAATCAGTACGCCAATTTACTAAAATAGCTGCTGTTGATAAATCGCAACTAAGGCAACGTCGATTGCTTACACAAGATTTACGCAAAATTATTTTGCGTACGCACCTTGATGAATCTACCCCCTCGAACTAGTAATAAGGCAAGCAGTTCCAGTCCCGAGTTCGAAAGCAACATGAATTGGCAACTTGGTAACTAGGCAAAATACACCATTTATGTAATCAGTTTAACAGTTAGTCCGATACCCAGCTATTAATCCAGTTACCGAGTTCGAAATATACAAGCTTCGAATAAATGTGTGGCAGAAGAGTTGATTTGGCCGAATAAGTAACGTAAGTAAGTATTTTGCTGCCTTAGTTCCAGTTTCCCAATTCAATGTTGCATTTCGAACTGGGAACTGCATGGTAACGTGCTTTTGGCTACGTTACTAGTGCTTTATCTGTAAGGAACTGAAACTGGGAACTCGTACTGGCTTTGCATAAGTTACTAGTTCTTATTCGCCTAAGAACTGGAACTGGGAACTCGGTAACTGGCTTGGCCTAGTTAGATAGTTCCTTATTACGAAAATAGATGGGAACTGGGACTAACTTCCCTGAAGCTAATTGAAATGCATATTGTTAAACAATTTACGCTCTCAGAAGAATGGGACCACCAATACTGATCAGCGTTAGCAGTAGGACATTAAAGCGAACCCCGATGTTCTCGTTTAAAATAATGATTGGATGTCCGCTGCTGGCGTGAATAACGTTGAACACTACTTCAAATAGAACCCCATTTATCCAGCAAATTATATCGTTATTTGTACAGCGATAGGCAATCGTTTCCTGCGAAAATTATGCCGAAGATACCACTAATATAGTAATACGATAGACACAGATGAACATTGGCAAGCGCTGTAGTAGCTCACGGGGCTAGCTGGCAAGGGCAGAAGCTACGGCGAGCGCCTTCTCGTTCCATGTTTCGTCTGTGCAAGACGCCTCTCTGACATGTCAAATAAAATCTAATTACATATTATGATGTCTGTGTGACGATCCTACTCTACGGCCGCCACATAGGCCTGCTAGCACCTTGGATGGCGGAGATCGATTTAACTCCATGGCATATTAGGCTAACGCAAATCTCGAATTTTGCGATGCTAGTTTCTAATCGAGCGAGCCACCTCGGGACAGAACGGCAAGTCACGTCCGTTGACGTTAGTACTTGCAGCCATCCACCAATTACGGGCGTCTAACACGGCGTGCGTCACACGTCGAGCGGCGGAAACGTGTTGGCGTAAGCTGGCTCTAAACAAATAGCACGTCTATGCAGCTTGCTGGCCGCGGCGACCTCACGGAACAGGGCAAATAGACGACTCCCAATTACCGTTCTTTAACCTGCTGACGCCCACATGCGCCTGGCGGCGTATCGTACTCTCCAAATTCAATACTGTGTCAGTGAGGTTTAAGCAGCGTTTTCAGCTCTGTTTACTTCTAATTAATGTGTCCTAATTAATAGCAAATGCGGGTGGCGCAATGAGTAGTGGTCCGTATAAAATCCCTGCGACCAGAGTTCACCTGCCATAAAACTGCAGTCGTTGAGCGGCAGGCGCAGAGGACGCCCAGCTAGTTAAGAAGGTACGAAGTCGCTGATGGACAGAAAGCGTGAGCCGAAGAGAGGGCCGCGAGACAGCGATCGAACGAGAGATAGAACAACATAGAGAGGAGAGACGAGAGAGAGAGAGAGAGAGAATGACAGAGAGAGAGAGAAAGAGAGAGAGAGAGAGAGAGAGAGAGAGAGAGAGAGAGAGAGCGAGAGAGAGAGAGAGCGAGAGAGAGCGAGAGAGAGAGAGAGAGAGAGAGAGAGAGAGCGAGAGAGCGAGAGAGCGAAAGAGAGAGACACACAGAGTAGGCAATGCTACTGTTTTTATCATTGTATTTTTTCTATTATGTCTTAATGTGCTGATGTGTGCGTGCATGTGTGTACCGATGGGCGGGAGGGCTTGATTGAGTACGTGCATGCGCGCACGCGAGCGTGTGTAAGCGCGTGTATGTGCGCGCGTGCGAGTGTGTGCATGGTTGGATAGCCGGACGGACGGGTGTATAGATGGATGGATGGACGGATGGATGGATGACGGGTGGATGGATATATGAACGGATGGATGGATGGATGGATTGACGGGCGGACGGACGGACGGACGGACGGACGGACGAAGACGGACGGACAGATGGATGTGTGGATGGATGGATGGCGGTCGGACTGACAGACGAACGGACAGAGAGATGGATGGATGGATGTATGGATAAAGGTATCGTGCGGTAAATTTTGCTAGATTGAGGTAATCAGTTTGTAAACAAACTAATAAGGATACATTTGTATTATTTCAGTCCACACCAGTATCGATTTAGGTGCAACAAGAGATACTAACTGAAGCAGGATGTTTGTCACACAGAGAAGCAGCCTAGTTCTATTAATTTTATTGTCGGTGGTAAGTCAGCACTACGTACAAGATTTACGTAGTAGTAAAAGTATAAATCAGGTTCGATTAGGCAATTCGCATCTAAAATACTTCACCAGTTCATTGAATAAGGAGCGGTTGCCTACAAGTCATTGTTGCATTAACATTGGTAATGTTTTAATAACGAACTGCAAACGTTCTCTACCCATAGGCATTTCACCTTGCACACGGAATGGCCATTGGGTATGGCCGCGGACGAGGAGGTTACGGGCGTGGGCATGGGGGCTATGGAGATGACCACAAAGGCTACGGAGATGACCATGGACGTGGGGGCTACGGACGCGGACGTGGGGGCTACGGACGCGGACGTGGGGGTTATGGTCACGGACGTGGAGGCTACGGCGGCGGTGGTTACGGAGATGACCACAAAGGTTACGGAGATGACCACAAAGGTTACGGAGATGACCACAAAGGTTACGGAAATGACCACAAAGGTTACGGTGATGACCACAAAGGTTACGGAGATGACCACAAAGGCTATGGTGATGACCACGGACGTGGTGGCCCGTAACCTTTGTGGTCATCTCCGTAACCTTTGTGGCCGTATGATGACCACAAGGGCTATGGAGATGACCACGGACGGGGGGGTTACGGGCAAAAAGGTTACGGAGTTGACCACAAGGGTTACGGAGATGACCACAAAGGTTACGGAGATGACCACGGTCGTGGGGGCTACGGGCACGGACGTGGGGGCTACGGGCGCGGGCGTGGGGGTTATGGTCACGGACGTGGAGGCTACGGCGACGGTGGTTACGGAGATGACCACAAAGGTTACGGAGATGACCACAAAGGCTATGGTGATGACCACAAAGGCTATGGTGATGACCACGGACGTGGGGGCTACGGACGCGGACGTGGCGGCTACGGGCACGGACGTGGGGGTTATGGTCACGGACGTGGAGGCTACGGACACGGCCGAGGACGCTCGGGCTATGGCGGTGGACACGGCCGTGGAGGGTACGGCTCCGGACGTGGAGGTAATACCAACAACAGTCGTATAATTAGAATTAGTCAAATCAATCGAGCTAACAGCCGCGGTGACTTCGTCGGTACTGGGCGCTTTAACAATGATTTTGAATTCATATAGGAGTAATAATATCCCTTGGGGAGGCTTTGTCATGTGCACGGTCTTGAGTCTTATATAATATATATATATATTTATTTATTTTCATTTATTTATTTATACCCCGTACAGACTGCAAAATTTGATCCCACATCAAACCGGTGCGGGTCAGGCGCGCGCCAAATCGTAGCATACATACTGCAAATTTTATCCTACATCAAATGAGTCACGGGTTGACTGTGTATATGGTTAGTTCAGCTTGCCACGTCATCACGCAGACAGATATTGTACTTTTACGTGACCTTAATAAGGCTATGCGCATACGTATTGTGAGACAGCACTGGATTTGGCACGCGTGTTGCGTACAGACACGCACACACAGGCGGGCTATCTTGGTTCGGGCTAAGTTATCCCGGGCCTGGCCCTCCTTCATTTGCGGGGCCAAATTGGTGCGGGCCAGCGCGTATTAGGAGCGGGATAGTGTGTATACACTGCAAAAATTTGACGCGCGCCTGACCCGCACCAGTTTGATATCATATCAAATTTGCAGTCTGTACGGGGTGTGTATATATATATATATATATATATATATATATATACTATGTAGTATATAGTTAGTGTGTGTGTGTGTGTGTGTGTGTGCCCTGGCGGGCGACTCCGCGCAACGCGGCCAAGACAATCGGCCGTCTCCCAACCTCCTCCGCGCACAACCTCCCGCACCCATCTTGTCCACCAAAAAAATACCGCCGGCAAGTATCCACTCTATTGCAACCGCATACGTTAGAGTTTCAATTTAACGTATCCGCGGCGCCTATAACTTTTAAGACATATTCAAATGCTAAGCATCTCACTGCCTAACCCCCAACAGAACTAATACCTACTAAATACGGAGATAAGTTGGCGCACCGCCCGCACCTCGCACTAGCCCCCCGATTGGATCGGCACTCATAATCAGCCCAAGCAGCAGTTCAATGTTAACAGCTAATCTAGTAACTAGCCTAACAAAACCCGCCCAGGCAAAAATGAAGCCACGAAATAAAATTCCATATGGTTTTAGCTAATTGCGCCTTGACTAAATTTTTGTGACTCAAATGTGATCTCATTTGCAGGGTGCCGCAGTGTGAACCCGGGGGGGGGGGGTGGGGCAACTATATATGCCGGGTATTACTCCATTCGTTACCTCACCTAAGAACAAAAGCCGCCCTAGTCGGAACCTGTCACATTTGAAAACCTACCCTTATATGCATTCGACACAGATGAATTAATACACCCCTATTGCATACCACAAGCATAATATCCCACCTCCTATTTGCTACACAAGTGAAAGAGTCCACCCTGCACCCCTACCCCCGCATATATCTCTTCGCAGGTCTTCTGCACACAATTTGAGGCAAAGAGTGGAGGAATGGAAGGGGGCACGCGTAGGGTGGCCACTGGCGGGCTGCGGTGGCTGACTTAACGATCCCGAGGGCTTATTGCGGATTTAGCTTGTAAAGGCGGCTACTTTTGCTCCCGATGCTGTAGTAGTATCTGCCGCGCGCCCGCTTAGACAATTTTAAAACACCGCCCAAACCACACAAAATTGAACAACTATGGGTAATATCCATGTGGCAATATATAGTGATCCTCCCCGGTTTGCCATTGAAATTTTGAATTATCCCTGGGAGCCGGCCCCCTAGCCCTTCCCGGCCATATGCTTTGGTGTGGGGGTGTGTCCCCCTTTTTATTGGATGTCCACTAAAAAAATCTGGAAAAATCTGCTAGCTCAAGTCCCTGATTCCCGCCCCTGGCACGTGTGACCAGTGCCGAACTGCAGTAGCTCTAGTACTAATAGCCTCGGAACGCTGCCCGCAGTGGTAGTTAGTACATTCTGCCATAGATTAATCTAATTCGAAATGCTCCACCTGCTGATCCAAAAATTTTATCCCCAAAACGCAAAGTGTAGTCCCATTTGCATTCGAGCCAGAAACCAATGACCTTGTGATACGCGACTATATACTCCAAATATCCTGCCGAATGTAAATACGTGGCATATTCCGTTCGTCGACATTTGGGACATCTGTTCGTGACCATGGCTATTCGTTCGACCATGCGTTGTGTGCGCACTCTGCATGCTGGTTCATTTGTTTGTATTAGCATAAATTTTAATATATATGCAGTTAAAGGGGAGCGCCTATACCCCTAAACACTGGCCCCTTGACATCTCTAACACTAAACCATATATACTAAATTCCCATCCACCTAACTCCTAATCTAACATAAACTGATTTTCGTCTCCTTATTATACGCGTCGTTCTTTTCGCGTATATATTATTACAAAAACTATATCTAACTTTGCTGTATAACCCACAATATGCCCGCAAACGCATGTATTCAGCTAGGCGTCACTTAATGCCTATAGGGCTGAGGCCTTAGCAATACCCTACGTCCCCCAGCCTAAAGGTCATACAAATTAAGTCGGAAAAATTCTAAAGTACAATAGCATTAGTAGAGCATCCTAGATTTCAAAATTAATTTAAAATATAAGACTCGGCCCCTTCGGTCGCTCTTAACTTACTATCATACGCACTCCGTGCAGGTGCGCTGCGACATGCAACATTGAACACGTCATCGCCATGCTAACAACTGTCTCGGGGACAATTTATTGCGAGCATACGAATCAGGTGTCCGATGCTCGTCACGAATATTCTATCCTTCGATATTGTTTAAATTCTAGTTAAAATTACATAATAATCTAGACAACTTCACTCTGTTTTGCACAAGTAGTCCACTCCAGTTACTCTATATGTTACTATAGCCCGTCGTATCGTTGCGGACTTGCGTCAAACTGTTGTTACCGTGCAACAGAGTACTAGAGGCTAGTTCCCGTCATTGGACTCTTGGAAACTACTTACTATATATTTGTATTTTGAAAGCTTACGAGGGAGCGTTTTCAAACCCATTCATCATGTAATTTGCCCTAATCATGTCAATACGCAAGTCATATAAACAAAGGTTGCAGGTTCTCGCAGCGTGACAGGTCCATTGCTAAACTTATTACTAGAGTTGTACGTCCTTAACTAGCGCGTAGTAGTACCTAAGTATTTATTCCCTTCACGCTCAACCGACTTTTCTCTACAAAGTATCGCACTAATTAATGGAATAACAGACAATACTCACAAATGGTACAGTCATCTCCTATCCAATCCCGGCACTCAGCCAGGGTCGTCGTTGAGGTGAATCTCAGCAGACAAGCGTCGGCAGTATGTTTGTCAGTCCCCGACAAGGAACAGTACCTTGTCCGTTACTAGCTTACTTCTTAAGTTCATCATTGATTCCTACAACCTAAACATCACAGTCACGATTATTCTGATGATTGTATAGGATAACTAGCAAAATCAAGACCACAATCAAGACAGTATATACCTACAAACAGGTATCTTTACAAGTTCTGAATTGAAAACAACCTGATGGTATTTGATTTCACCCATACAAGTGCAGCGTCCTTATTCGTGACATGTGCAACGTCTCCAATTCCAAATATCAATATTGGCTAAAATAAAAAGACAAACTTAGTGCCTTGAAAATATTAGAACGTCACCAAAAAACATAGTGGTACATATTGAAATCCCACTGTCATGCGAACACCTACACTCGACAACAAATCCACTACTGCTTGGATTCCTTTAAAAGCCCCACATTGCCGAACATTTTGCTCAAAAACTTATCTTTAGCAATTTCATGAAATGTTCGGCAATGGGTGCGCTGAAAAAATCACCGAACATTTGTCGCGGAACAATGTTTCTGAGATCTGAAATTTTGATATCTCCGAACATTTGTTTCGTCGAATTTCGTTCCCCAATTTATCTGAAGTCCGGAACAATTTCAGCGCACATTGTAAAGTAGTAACCAATACAAGTGTTTATATCATCTGCTTGATCTCTTGAGACATTCGAATACCAGATTCTACCCATCTTGTCTGCTGTTTACATATATATTTCAAATAAACTTAAATCACACTAAGACCTCTGGTACACTAAGGAGCGTGTACAGCTATAGTCCCGCATAAGTCCTCCTCTCACTAGTGCGCCGCTCTTGAGCGTCACAAAAAAAACATTACTTAACGTTTCCAGTATCTTACCATCTCCCTCCCTTACAAGATTTGTACTTAGATTCATAACTATTACAACGAGCAACTTGAACAGTAGTACTAAACAATTATCATAACACTCTATTGAATCTACGCACCGGTTTATGGATTCTTACACATAGCACTAAATCGTACAGGCTGTTTCCTGTACGCTTCCATAACTTCGAACTGGTTCTCCGGACAGCTTCATGACGTGACATCATTATATGGCGACTTTTGCATTCATGACAAAAGATCACATCTTCACCACGTCAGTTCAGGTTTCAAGTGTTGATGGTAACTCGTCACGCGACTGAGTGGCAGTGCAGTTATTGTCTTCTCGTAGACTCTGGCTCTGTACTTACATGGTATTGTCTCTAAGTGATTTGTGACCCATCTCTTCGTCGTCCTGCAATTGTACGCACTGTGGTTGCGGGAATCTACCCGTCTCAGCATAAATTCATTTCTTCAATGTCAGTAGCCTATGGAATCACACCGATACATAACTCCGATTCTTGAAGTTACGCCTCTGTGCGGGCCAAAAAAAACTCCCACCCCCACGTATTTACCCATTCT